ACTCTTCCCCCCCCCCACACACAATTCACTTCTCTTTGCTCTTCCACCCCCCTCTCAATGGAGCCCTCCACGAAACCTCAACCACCTCCGTCTAATCACTCTCAATCAGACTTCACCCACCTGCCCGTCAACAATCCACCTCGTCTCTCAAAAAACGGGATCCTCTCTGCAGAATGTGACTGTGTGTGTACTATGTGGGGGGGGGAGGGGGGGCGTAGGCTGGTAAGTTCAGTCAGATGTGATTAAGTGCGCCTCTCTTGCTTGGGGGACTCTGCATAAAGAAACCTTTTTAGGGGGATGTGTTGTTTTCCTTTGCCTCGTTCTTTTTATAACTCCGATAGCCTCCAGCCCGTCAAACACGATCACATTATTGGGGCTTTGAAAAAAAAAAAAAAAAACCCCTCGGAGCTGTTGCTTTACCCTTGACCACACATTTGAGAAGAAGTTTTCTGCTGAATCGTCATCCTTCGGATTTGCCTTGACAAAACGCCGGCCTCCGGAGGAAAGGGCCTCGGACAAGCGGGTCGCAAGGACCCGGGTTGGCCTTCAAGTCAGTTCGGGTAAGCGGGCATGTTTTCCACGTGCAAATGAAATTGAGCTTTGCTCACATATCCGGACCCCTTACATATATGGAAAAAAACTCGTATTCAAAACTGCTCATATGTGCCTCGTTTCGCATTTGTCGCCGCTAGCGTCAACCTTTCGTGGCATCACCTTGTATTCTTGTCACCTGTCTTCAGTCCTCTGTTTTCCATTTCTTCTTCACTAACTTGTTTCCTTGTATGCTTTCCGACTCTTTTGGCTTCTACCACCAAGTCCCCGTCTCCCTTTTCCTACCAGAAGACACGCCAAAGTCCTACCCTGGCTGTCTCTTTGACCACCTTGCCTGTCGCATGTTCAGTCTTCTGAAAGCTCTTCCTGCCCACCGAAAGCCTGTTTCGCGGCAAAAACCGCACATCACTCATCTTTTCAACCTTCCGCCACAATATTCTCTGCCTTTGTCTTCTTCGGCATCCTGGCGAAACTATAATCAGGATCAGGATGCGGAAGCAGATGAAAATAAACAGCACACCTCCACTTTGGAACCTTTTTCGGCATTTGAGTGCTCCCACAGTGCAGTGCCGCAGGTCACACCTCCTCCTAGTCCTCAAAAAGTGTTCTACAGACGTACGTTTGCCCTGATTGATTATGCAGTCACGCATTAGTGGCTCCTCACCTTGTACGTCGTTTCAAGGCCGGTGGCGCTGAATCAATCGCGGCTGTATCATCGCATCGGAATAACTTGCAAATAATGAGGTGCTGCGCTAATAACCACGCTATCGTTAATAAGCCCCAGGCATCCTTTTTTGCTTGTGTGTTCAAATTGCACACCGTGACAAATATTGTTCATTCGAAGGCAGAAAAAACATGCGTGCGCGACAACGTCCCAGCAACATTCGTCTATCGTCGGAGGGAAAACGGCGTGTGTTTGGAGAGTGATAAGGGCTGACACGCTTGTAGACAATGCCGCGCACGCGTGTGCATGCGTGTGTGTGATTGTCATGTGGACTTAAGGGCGGAAAAACATGTGACGTGAACAAAGAGGTGCGTGTGTGTGTGTGGCACTGTTGAAAAAGATTGTGTCCAAATGTGGATTCAATGGCATGGGCGGTTGCTGCACCTAACCCACCCTCCCCAATTCAGGTGACATCATCCCTTACCACAGCACGCCCCCTTAACCCCCCCCCCCCCCCCACCCCCCCCCCCCCCCCCCACACTTCCCCAATCGCCCTCTACCTATGACAGTAGACAATGGCACACACATTGGTAGCCCCATCAAACGGGTTGCATTTACATGCTCCTCATCCTCGCAGCCTTTGTCTCCTAGCAACTGTGACTATTAAATACCTGCTACTACCACAGGTACAAAAAAAATGTAAAAAGGAAAAGGCCTGGGTTCCCGGTGGATGCTGACATTGTCTGCGGGGTGCATTCTGAGGTGCACGCAGGTAGGGAGAGAAGAGGAGAGGAGAGGAGAGAGCAGTGACAAGCCAAGCACAGCTGATCATTCAAACTCATTCCCGTCACGTTCACGGTCGGTCAGTCCCGGCGTCCGAGGAGGCGGTTTGCATCACTCACACATCTGCAAAGGTCATTTATGCAACGTGAGGGCATCGGCATGCGTGGTTTAAAAAAGAAAGAAAGGAAAAAAAAAAGAGAAGAAGAAAAGCATGGCCTTTTCCTCCCCCCTCCCCGTCCCCCTCCACTACCCCACCAACCTACGTCACACCGAATACCAATCGAGCCTCATCCGCGTGTGTACATTTGTCCTCATTTCATTTCGACACGGCCCAAAATGCATCCTTACCAGTTTGTAAAGTCAGCAGCAAAGTGAGGAGCAGCAGCAGCCTCTGCATGGTTCAGCCCACCAGGAATAATAAGTCCAGTATTGGGCCAAAACTCCGTGAGGACGGCATCAAAAAGGCAGGCAGGGCTGGACGGGACATACAGAGAAAGAAAAAGACGAAGAAGAGCAACAGTCGCCCGTCCTCGATGTTTGCTAGCTCTCACTCGGCTTTTACACCATTCCGCTGCTTTTTTTTTTTTTCGTCTCCCCTTCTCTCCTCTTCCCTCAGTGGCGGCAGTCCGCTTTCTGCTGCGTTACAGATCGACGTCCAAAATGAGGATGGACGATTAGTTTCCGGTAGTAGTCTTCAAAATAAAAGCGATAGACCACAAAACCACACCGAATATGTCGAAACGGAAGGGGCAATTTAAGTGCTGGAGGGGGCCCACATATGACCAGGCACTTCCTAACCAGATGTATGATAAAAATTCAGTTTTAAATTTGATCTTTTTTTTTTTATGTCTGTTTTATGGGATTCCGCACCCCCCCCCCTTTTTTGTGGAAAACGTGTATTGAATATTTAGCCGCCAGTCGCCCATTCCTGATGTATAAAACAGCAATAAAAGAGCCTGTTGGAATGTAAATCCTCCTTAAAATTAATATGGAATCATCGTTATTCTACACTCCCCCCCAAAAAAAGACGAATAGAGGGTCTTTGGTGGGTTATATTTTCGTATTGCAAGCAGCCACTTCCTGTCTTGCATTTACTGAAGTGCTCAACTTGATGGCATATCCTCATTAGAGGCACATTCCGCTCTCTCTCTCTCTCTCTCTCTCTCTCTCTCTCTCTCTCTCTCTCTCTCTCTCTCTCTCTCTCTCTCTCTCTCTCTCTTTCTCTCTTCCTCTGCTTCTGCTTCTCTCGCTGTCTCCTTCTTTGTCTTCTGTCACTGTTTCTGTCTTCGACCCTGTCTGCAAAAGTCTGATCAAATCTTGACTGCTGACCGGTTCTAGTTATTATAAATCAGCAGGTGACCGCTTGACAAACAACAACAACAACATGTAAGAGAGTTTGTGTTGTCGCAGCAAAATATGCAGATTGCCTTTTGGAACGTTTTAATTTGTCTGTTTGTTGTGTGTTTTTGGAGCGGTTATTAGTCAGTTACAGTGGAAACGGAATGACTAATAAAGTTTATTTAAAAATCGAATCCACCACCCTTCGGTGACTGTGACGTCATCATAACTACACCACGGCCCTCTTTTAGCTCACTAAGAGAGTCAAAGAGGGGCAAAACTGGTGTCGAAACTTGGGAGGAATGTCCGTAAGGCTAACCAGTGGAGTCCACCAATGACGAGTGGGGAATGCTTCAAGACAAATCCACAGTCTTGGTGATTAATTGCGGTCCCATCAAGAAGGTTGCGTACGGGTCAGTCAGCCGACCGCAGGCGGAGAACGTAATGCCGGGGCGCCCCCTGTCGTCGTCATCTTGTTGCTCATGTAAAGGCTGAATCGAGACAACTGGATTGATCATGTTTGTTGAATTTGTTGTGCTTTCTTGGTTTTCGAAAACGTTCACAAATAATTTCTTCTGTTATATTCTCATTTATTGAGATTCATCTAATTAATGTCTGTCTTTTAGTGTGCTGGTTTTAATCTCAATGTTCATTCAATGAGAACAAACGACAAAGCATCCTTTTATTGAATTTGACACTTTTGGGCGATTGTGTCATTTTTCAAATTGCTTCATGTGTCGATGAAAAATAACAGTAAAAAAAAATATTGATGAAAAAAAAAAACACGTGCCGAAGTGTGTCGATCACAGCAGCAGAACACATGCAAACATGCTCCCGGTCCGGCAAATCACCAAAAGATGGCAGCCTCAGCAAAACAACCACCGATCCACACTCAAGGAGGTTGCCAGTGACCCATCTCTGCCGGGACTCGAACCCGGAGCCTCTGGATTAGAAGTCCAGCGCGCTATTCCATTGCGCCACAGAGACTGCGTCGAAGTAACGACACACAGTCGCAATTTGTACGCAAGCGCAATCCGAAGCATCGCCAAGCGTTATTTCTCCACCCGTGCAGCATCAGGACCAACCTGGGCGGCCATATTTGTAGTACTGAAAACAGCCACTGGAGGGCACCGTAACGCCGTTACCGTTGAGACTTCCCAGAAAATGCAGCACGTTGGCGTTTTTTTTTTTGTTTTGGTCATTTCAAGACAAAAATAACATAGAACCATAAAAAAGCGTCAATAAAAACAATTTATAAAATGTATAAATTAAATTCAGACTAAAGTAAAAATAATAGATTCATATTCAAAATATTGAAATGCAACTCAATAGATAAGATGTGAATGCGTTGTGTGTGGATGTTGCTGTTGATCCTTCACCACACTGATTTGGCACACCTCTTCCTCCTTTTCCGGAAAATAAAGGTTGAAAATTCTCTCACTCTGAAAAGGAAGACAGAGATGATTTCTTATATTGATTATATTTACACTACTTGCGCCACCTGGTTGAAGTTTACTGTTCAATTAAACATCAAACTATGAGAATTGAACATTGAGTATTTGC